TAATAAAAATATATAAAATACGTTCAAAAGCAAACAAGTTGTGATAATACATCTACAGTAGATTCTATAGGTTTTAATTATGCCGAAAATCGATATCTCGAATATAATTTTTTGTTATCTTGAACTCGATTGAAATTCCTTTTAAGTAAGAATATTAACATGACATTAAGATTCGATATCTGGAACTTCTTTATGCATGGTACCTTGAGTTTCAACATAACGAGAGTTTACTAAGTATATTTTTAGTTTTTTAAAATCACATGTCTAATCTTTTATAACATTAGTTGTCATGTATCAATAAAATATTGATTATCGAATAGGGGGAGCTCATTTACCTGATGCAGACAGCGGTCGATTGGTAGTTGGCACCTGGTGGCTATTCGTTTTGGTTATCGTGACCACGTACAGTGGAAACTTAGTGGCTTATTTGACGTTTCCCCAGATGGATACAATGGTATCTAATGTGGCCGATTTGATGGCTCGTAAACCTCAAGGATATTCATGGGGAATACCGAAGACATCAAATTTACATTCATTACTTACCGTAAGAAAATTGTTAAATGTTATTGATAGGATGTAAGTAAGTACGCTATGATAAATTGGAGTCTAAAATCTTATATTCATAGTTAGATCTAGGACAGCGGTTTCCAACCTTTTTTTTCTTCCATATACCTACCAATAAGTTTAATATTTTGATTGTATCCCTCATTATGACTTTTAAACTTTTTTCACGTAACCACTCTAAAAATGTTTAAATAAAAATTAACAATAATATAATACAATGAAATATTTCCATTTCTATAAAATAAGTTCATGATTACATTTTGATTTGTAATAATTTATATTTTGCAGTATTACATGTTTCCGAAACGAATCGTTTTAAACAAAATAAATGTTGTTAAAACATTTTGCCGTCATTATCTATTTTTTTTTCACGTACCCCAGGTTAGAAACCTCTGGCTGGAAGTAAAACTGTGAAAGCTGGAAGTATAACTGTAATCAAAATGGTATTTTGAAAGCCATAAAAATGGGCCAGTGGCGGCGCAATTACAGAGTTCAAATCTTGAGAGTGGGTACTACAATTGACTCTGCCCCTCATCCCCTCCAACACTACAAATTACTAATATGTAGATTATACTGTTATTCACAATACCATTATAAGAAAAAAAATTTTAATAATTAATATTTTTTTAATCATATTATATTAAAATTTAAAGTGTTAAACATAATATCCTACGTGAGTAGCAAATGTGTTCAATATTTCGTCAGGAACAATGCCATAAGCTAAGTCTGGTAATGATCCTCAAATAAATATCTATTAAATTATTTGGTTGAGTTCTTTTTTGTTTTGAAACATTAAAAAATTATATTTTTTAATAGTTTGCATCAGTCGTAATATGAATAATGAATATGAACATAAAAGTAAAAAAAAATCTAAGCTAACTAACCTATGTGGGAAACGTTCAATAATATGTAAATTTTTTCACAAAATTGTACGATTTTTAACCGTAATTCTGAAATGCGTTAGATATCTTTTTTCATATTTTGAAATGACTCAATGACACTATTAATGATAATATTCGGTCATCCCAAATGAAGCCGTTTTGGTTTGTAGTATGGACTGACTACTGAAAATATCTATAACTCTTAACAAATCTCTTAAGACAATAAATTATTAAAATTATAAATTGACATTTTGTTATTTAAGATTATAATACAATAATAATATAATGTAATCGCTAACCAGAATGCAAAATAAGAAGAAAAAATGGAATTCTTAAAAATTTATAATATTTAGTACATTCTGAAACTATCGAAATTATGAATATTACATTTAATATATTTTAATGCAGAATTCAATGAATTTATAGTAAAAATTACATTTAGGACCTTACAATAGGTACCCACTTACAGTAACTAATATTAATAAGTAGGGACAATGATATTAGTGTTAATCTTTAAGAGTCTTGAAGTTATAACATGGCATATCAATACCTACCAACATATTTTTCTATTATAGCTATATACATTACCAAATAAATATTCTTTGTGTAAAATTATTTGAAATTGAATATCCTTAACTCTTTATACTCATTAGCTGTAGGAAATAAAATTGTTTGAGATTAATTTGAGTACCTAGGTACTTAATGAGGTTAAATAGTGACTTTAAGGTTTTAAAAATGAGTAGGTTTGATAATATTATGATGCTCTTCAAAAAGAAATTCCTTAAGAAAGGATAGATTGGATTGATACAATGTAGGTTAATTTTTTTAGTTTGATATTTAAAATATATTTAAGAGATTTAAAAATATAGAAAAATTGTCTTTGTTATAATAATTAATGTGACAGTTCACTTATAATTCTTATCTGCGATTGTAGGTACCAAGATATTTTAAAGAACTAACTCTGTTTAACAAACTAAAATTGCATACATTTCTTGTATTTGCATTGTTAATACAAATTACAACTAAAAGTATGAGTATAATACTTTAATGACTATCTAAATGTATGGATTATTTTATAACAAGGTGAACATAATTCAATTTCTTCCTACCCTACTGATCTCTAGTGAAATATTGACTAATGGTTTCCTCTAATTTCCAAGGTTGGTAAATGGTAATGATTTTTTCTATAAATTATTTATGCACTGACTCTTTAATAAGATGATCGTATCATCCGCAAAACAATTTTTATTCTCAGGAGTATTTTGATTAAGTATTCCGTTAATGTGTATTAAAAATAATACTAGCCCTAACACAGTGCCTTGTGGCACTAAGTAATCAATATCCTGTAAGTTACTATACTCTATTTCAGCAGTTCCCAACTTTTTTAGCTGTGCGGACCACCAATTTTATAAAAAAATCTTTGAGGCCCACATATAGCTCACCTATATATACGAATGCAGAAATATATATATATATATGTATATACAAACCTCAGTTGTTAGAACTAAAAAGAATTACAAAATCAATTGTTTATCACAAAAAAAACTTTGTTAAACCTTATCATAAGTTAAACAATTTAATGTGATTTTTGACAATACTTGTCCTTCATGAGAGAATCAATATAGGGATGAAAACTGGACAGTTTTAGAATTAAATCATTTTCAACATTCAGTTTATTCCTATACTTAGAGTTAATTTGACACTACAGAGTGTAGATAATATTGATAAATATTATTATAACCAGAAATTTTATTGGGCATGTACTAAAAATATATAATATTAAATATTATATATTTATATGGTTCACGGCCCAATACCACGCTGCTTGAGGCCCACAAGTGGGCCGCGGCCCATAGGTTGGGAACCGCTGCTCTATTTGATGAAAGAAAATGTTGGTTTTGCTCGTACTACCAGCGTCACCCTGCTATCAAAACCGATTCCTCTATGGCGGAGTGTCTGATGGGAATGCACAGAAAAACCGATTTTAGTCAGGCAGGGGCATGATCTTACATGGAACAGAGTATATAAACATTATCTATACTTACTCTACGTACTCTATAGAGTCAAATACTTGTTTAATATTTAAAAGTTATTAAGAACATGTTGTTTGCTATCTTAATTATAATAAATAAATAAATATATATATATATATATATATTTATTTATTGAGTAGTTTTATAAAATGCATTATTAGGCAAGAAGTTACTTTGAAAACTAAATTGATTACCGTGGAAGAAATGATATTTATTTAAGAACTCCAATAACCTATTTTTAAGCCATTTTTCACAAATTTTAATAAAGTTAAAATGAGAGATATAAACTTATAGTTTGAATATTTGCATTCATCACATTTTTATAAATTGATTCACTAAAGATTTTTCAAACGATTTAGGGAATTCCCCTTCAGAAATAATGATATTAAATATTTTATTATTAACTATAGTCTGAATTTTATTTATTCTATGTGTAGACATTACCAGATGATACAATGGTCAAAGAATTAATTAAAAATGCCGAACACCACGAGGGGTTGTCACGATCAATCATAGAAAGAGTGAGATCTGGTAAACATGCGTTCATTCATCGTCAAACCAACTTAATGTACATTATGAAGGATGATTTTCTTAAAACAAATAGATGTGACTTTGCTATAGGTAAACAAATTGATAAAAATATTACTTTTTATTTTTGAAGACAATGAGCTTAATATTTAAAAGTGATTTACAGGAAATGAAGATTTTGCGGAAGAAAAATTGGCAATGATGTTATCAAAAGAAAGCCCTTATCTCAGTAGAATCAACAGAGAGTAAATATAATTCAATAAACAAGATTAAAATACATTTTATGAATACTCTATTTTGATTAAGGTTGAATTAATTTAAGTTTAAAAAATTTTGTATATAAATTACAACAAAACACAAAAAACAAACTTAGATATGTATTGTCATTATTTCTGTTGACAAAAAAAAAACATATTGAGTTTTCGGTTAAAATGAGGAATTCATAAATAAATGATTATAAACTAGCAATTCAATTATATTTTTTAAAAATTAAAGAAAAGTATTTAATACCTACTTTTCCCTATTAAATGCAAAAAAAAAAAATATTTAAGTACTTAACAAGTATGCTTTATTAGTTATTATTAATATTTTAGTAGATATTTGAACTACATAAATATTCAATATCAATATAAAAGAATAATTCAAGCGTATTTAAAAGTTAAATCTATAATGTTATCACAGGATTGAAAAAATGCATAAAGTTGGTCTTATAAACAAATGGTTAGTGGACACATTACCCAAAAAAGATCAATGTTGGACCAACACACAATTAGAAGTAACAAATCATAAAGTAAATTTAGATGATATGCAAGGATCGTTCATTGTTCTGTTATTGGGTGAGTCTACTTTTACAAACACAAATGACTTAATAATACTTAATAATTTTTTTTTTATTGATTTATTTAAGGTGTATTATCATCACTAGTGTCGTTTGTTTTTGAATACATACTACACAAATACATAAATCGGCATCAAATAGTAATAACACCATTCATAAACTGATATCAAACAACTGTATGTTAAACAGTCTTTTTTTTTTATTAAAATATATAGATAACAATGGTAATTAATATTCTTACAAATAATTAAACACATAAATATACAAATAATTCTATACTTACATATTATAATATTATATTGAACTTATAAGTACCATTTCTTCATGTTTAATCATTACTTCAGATGGTTATTTTTGCCAGTAATCTCACCAAGATAAGTAAAAAGGTTCTTTATCTTATAACTTCGTTTACGATTGGTGAAATAATGTGATACAACATTGTCATCTATACAAATTTAAAATTTAATTAATTATTATCAACAAATATTTGTAAGTTATACATTAAAAATCTCATGCAACAAATATTTTACTAGTCCAATAGACATCTTATTGAATTAAGGTTTTGTTTTAAAGATATTTTTTAATAGTTTTTTTCATTGTGATTACTTTTTAGATAGAAAGAGTGCACCGGAGGTTTTATATACCTTTGTTGATTGGTAATTATGCATACTATACTTAAGAGAGTAATTTTAGGAATTTTTTAGTAGTTTCCTAAACAAATTTTAGAACTCAAGTTTTAATAGAATCATTGGCCATTGCTTTCAAAATTGTTGTAAAATGTATAAAATATGGCATAAAGAATCTAGTTAATTTGGATTCACGGCCCTTAAAAAAAAACATTGATGGGACATTGTACCTCCCAATCCTTTGACTTGTCTTACTAACACAATATAAAGAAAATAATGTTGTAAAATAAATTCTCTAAACATAAAATACAACAAATGCAGATACAAGGTCCTATTATAAGATGATTAATATTATACATTTATATTTTCACAATCAGAATATAAAATTAATTCATAGATTTACTTAGTAACGATAAAAGTTTAAATTTTACATCTAAATGTATATAAATTATTTATGAGCTCATGTCAAAAAATTTGTTAAATGGTGTAAATAATATTTAGACATACTCGTAACTGTGTTATGATAATATATTTATAAAGTCAAAATACAATAAGTCTTAAATAGTTTAGTACTTTTATTTTCCAAGTATTTTAGCATTAATAATACTAGTTGAATAATATACACTCAAAATAATTGTAATAACATATTTTAAGCAAGTCGCCATGTATAAATATTGTCAGCAAAGAGTCAACACTGTTTGATATAATGAGTGTTTTACTTTAAATGAAACATCCTGTATAATACGAATAAAAGTTTCATTAAACAAATAAACCTATTTAAGGTTGTGATTCATAACAAGTTGAAGAATACTAGTAATAACACACCTGATAATCTAAAAGAATGTTGTGAACATATTGGGCATTGATAAAGAGCATGACTTACCAGGCATTTATAGGTTTAGTTTGTGACTTACTAGCACAAATTTGATACTATAGAAGTCACCAGAAAAACATGTGTTTAAAAGATTGGAATTAAAGTATTTTTACCTCTTCATTAAACTATAAAAATGAGTGTTCTACAATATTGTATTTTTGATATCCACACAATAGTGATGGATTGATTTGTACAGATTGGGTCACCAATTACTTGGCACTTGGTAATGAACAGCAAATATCTCTGCATATTTTAAACCAATCAATAGTGGTTAGTTTAGAACGACCGTTAAGAGATCATTCAGTAAATAAATTAGGTTTTAGATCCAAAATTAAACAATTTCAAATATTCGGTCCAAACTTAGATTTTGAACGACAGTAAGAATAAATATAAGAAATACTCGATATAAGTAAAAAATTAATTATTTGAACAAACTAATTGACATCCATGGCACATCTGATGGATTTGTATTCCCGTCTCTCTCTAGATGCTTATTCTTTTTATTGTTTTAATCATTTAGTGGCTCCACCACATTTTTCATGATCATAAATCGGGATTTTTTATAATACTCCCTAGTCTGAAGAAATTCTATTGTAGAATATTCATAAGAAATTTTTTAATTCCAATGCTAATATTCTTAATAAGAATTAGACATACCGTACACTTGGTGTAGTACTCAATAGTTGAATATATTTAGGTGTTGTACCATCATAGTAGGAGTTCATGCCAATTAACATTATCATATATTGGCAAAATATCACTGTCAATTGTGCACACACAATTCATGTTAAATTACGATAGATCATGATAGACCTGGTATATTATATACTTTACCAATAACAAATAATCCAACTTAAAGATAAAATGTAATGTTCTAAATAAGTACTTAGAATTAATAAAAGTTTTCTACTTACCCACACTGGTGATTGGTAATGTATTATCATTGGCCGATAAGGATAATATAAACATAAACGGTACCATCCATAAACACACTGTGAAGTACGAAAAAACCTAAAAATGTATATACATTATGATTATGTTTAATCAAAGACATCAAAAATATTTGACATATTTAAAAAAGTATACTAACTTCAGATAATGTTGTATAACGTTGTCTGAAAAATTTGAAGGCTAGCACATGATTTCCAATTAACAGAATAATTGACAAAATAAATGATAGCGATGTTAAGTTGAAGTGAGGAAAGTCAATGAGCAAAAAGTAGTAGACTATATGACTCAAAAGACCCAAAGCAATCAGTGTTAAAGGTATATTGTCAAATATATACAATCCAATATGACATATTATCACAACCTGTAATTAAGTACAAAAATGTAATTATTTAAAAGAAATATTTTTATTTTTAACTTGAAGCTAATAAATAATATTATATTATAATTAGTTCATAATATTTTGAACAAGAAATAAGAAATGTACAAAAATATAATTTTTTACTTTCCAATAAGATTTAACTTGGTGGTTATGATAAGTCACCACTCACCAAAATTGTGAATTTTATTAGTTCAAAGCAATAAATCACTTTGGTAAATAAATAACTTAATATTTAATCTTACATGAATTGTCCATTTTATAACTTTTTTTGTTAATGTTGTGTGCTCTTCGACAAATTCAGCCAAGTAATAAACTCCAGCACCTGAAAGATAGAAAAATAAATATAATATACATGAATTTAGAAATGTTCTCAACATCATGACGCAAACATGGTGGTTTTGGTGTTCAAAACCAGATTTGTCATTAGTGAATGTTTATTTTCAATCAACCGCATATATGTCAAATGGCAAAATAATATTGTTACAATGTAATTGAAAGAACTGTAGGATAAAAAGCTTGAAGTGAGCATTCGACAGATGGATTAAAGGCACAATCTCCGCTGAGTATGTCATGAAAATCTTGCATCAAACATTGCAAACAATCTTTAGAAATCTAACTCACCAATGAAAACAGAAATTAGTGCTATCTGCAGTACGACAGCAATAACGATGACTAGAAACATAAAAATCATCGCTCTGCGGCACACGGACGAGGAATGTTAGGTATTTTTTTTTTTTTAACAGAATCCTTGTACTGACTATTAGGCCATTTTCAGACATTTATCTAAAAAAAAAAAAAACGAACGATCTGTAGGACTTTTCACTGCGAATGGTATGTACTAAGACGTTATTGTGTACTCCGTGCCCATCTCGATGTTAGTGGGGTCATGACGAATCTGATTTCTAGCCTCTATGCAGAAAGTCAGCGGCAACGACAAAGCATAATATTACCTGCTATGAAATTAACATTTTGACTTTTGAGATAGTGACAACGTGAGATAGCGTCTATAGTAGCTGCTGTGGTTGGCACCGAGTTGGAGGCAGTTGTCTGAAAAATGATAAGGACCCCGGCAAAAGATAGCGACTTCAAATTTGTTGCCAACAAACAATTTACACAAACTATAATATAAACATTTGTTTGTTTGTTTGTGACACGATTAAAAATAGTATCTACAATATACTATAATATAATAAGCTATCTTTAATCGTGGTTTGTGAGAAAATTATGCTGTTTAACAATAAAATGATGGTAATAATATTTGATAATATTTTGTTAAGGCCCCTGCATACGTGTCATTCTTAAGGAGTTGTGTTTAGGCAATCATTCGTTCATCGCCGTCATATCAGATGGTGGGTAAATTATAGTAAATTATTATTAGTGTATATATTTTTCAATTTTAGTCAAATAAAGCTAATAATAAATTATCACTTCTAATTATTAAATTTATAATTTTATAATACACTTGTAAATGTAATACAAGGTTCCCCTTAAGTTTTTGTTAATGCAAATTAAAAAAAAAGTCGAGCGTAAACCCACAATAATTTTTTATGAACGTTTAAACTTAGAATTTTGACAAAATTTGTAAAAATCACAAAAATTAGCAAATTATACTTGGTTAGAAATTCATAAAAATTTTTATTTTTATATCTAAGATTTAAAAATTTAATACAAGATTCCTTATAATTTTGTCTACCTTAATCAAAAAAAAAATTTCTACCGGAAAGTCAAATTAAATTTTTATGAGCGTTTGAAGTTGACATTTTTACGACATGGATATTCACTCGATTTCGACAAAATTTTCAATTTTCATTTTTTTTCATTTTTTTTTCTATATATGTCAGTAAAATTGTATTCGTTGGGTCAAAAAGCATGACAATTTAATATAAAATTATCGTGTCACAGACCACAGTGTTTGTTACCATACTCCTCCAAAACGGCTTAACCGATTTCAATGAAATTTTGTATATACATTTGGTAGGTCTGCGAATATGTTTATATGAAAGAAAATGTATAAAATCCAACTTTTTAAGAGTGATTGAAACGGAGATTGTTATTATTATTATTATTTGTTATTTATTAATATTATTATTATTATTATTATTATTATTTGTTATTTATTAATATTATTATTAATTATTATTATTATTATTTATGTTATTATTTGATTGTTTGTATAGGATTACCATTGGTTACAAAAATTATGAACAGAAAATTTTTCTTTATTAACTAATTGAATTTTTTTTATTTGTGAGTTGTGTACAATGCCGGCAAGACGAATTTATACCAAAGTGAGAGCAGTCAAATATTTAAACATAAAAAAGCGGGTACGTCGTAAGTAGATGTCGTTCTGCCGTACATTCGCTGTCAATATTGTCCACATTTAAATTTGAAAATGATTTTCTAGTTAAAAATTTATAAAAATTTTCAATTTTTATAGCCAAGGATTGAAAATTAAAAACAAGGTTTCACTTAAGCAGGTTTTTCCGTAACTTGAAAATCTAAAAAATATTTAAATACAATTATTTTTACAGACATTTTAAGTTCAAATTTGGACAAAATTGCATATTAACACAAAGAATAACTTTTATCATTTTGTTGTAATTCGATTCCAAAACAGCCCAATTGTACATAGGTATATTTAATATTTTTCCAGCATCACTGATAATTTAAGAATAATATTAATGCCAGATACCAAATTAATAATAAGTAATTACAATATAAAATATCCTACACTGACATACCGTCTTGAATTCATATTTAATACCATCCATGACAGCGAATGCACGGCAGAAGAACATCTACTTACGACTTACCTTTCTTATGTTTAAATATTTGACTTCTCTCACTTTGGCATAAATTTCGTCTTGCCGGCATTGTACACAACTTACAAATAAAAAAAATTCAATTAGTTGATAATGAAAAATGGTCTGTTCATAATTTCTGTAACCAATGGCAATCCTATACAAACAACCAAATAATAATATTAATAATAATAATAATAATATCAATAAATAACAAATAATAATAACGATCCCCGTTTCAATCACTCTTAAAAAGTTGAATTTTATAAATGTTCTCTCATATAAACCTATTCGCAGACCTACAACTAGATGTATATACAAAATTCCATTGAAATCGGTTAAGCCGTTTTGGAGGAGTATGGTAACAAACACTGTGACTCGATAATTGTATATATTAGATATACAAATTGTACGTAAACAATTAATTTTTACCGATTTCAACCCTTTAAAATCAAAATTTTGAAGATCGGGTGAAGTGGTGTCACTTAGGAAGGTGTTTGGAACAATTCTGTGAAAAAAAATTGGAAAAAGTTAAATAGCGTCGTCACAAAATTGGTAAGTAAAAGGGTCTGTCCTTTTACATATATAAGGATTACGATATAACTCAATGTATATAATTGACATACATACTTCAAAAATGTTCTGTTAAAAAATGCTAAAACCTGCTTAGCTTTGTGCTTACTCTTTCATTAAAAAAATTATATGATTGACAATGATTCATATTTTCACATTTATATATATTAGATATATAAATATATAATATATATCTATATATACTTATATATGTATAAATAGATTTATTTTGCCATTTTTTTATTAGTAAATAGTAACATGGTAAATTACTATGAAATAACTTTTGAAAAAACAAATCGTACCTAATAATATTATATAATAAATTAGTAAGTATCTATTTACCTATTTGTTAACCTTATTATATTATAATAATAATAATATTATTATTAACATACAGGGCATTATCGTAGCCCGTAGGAAAATGTGAATAGCTTGGAAAATAAGTCTGAATATATATTTTAAAAATTGTAATATGTGTCTATCAAAACTAATCTTTATATTATAAAGAGGAAAGATTTGATTGTTTGTTTGTATTGAATAGGCTCTGAAACTACTGAACCGATTTAAATGAAATTTGGTACATAGATAGTTTAGACACTGAGAAAGGCCATAATATGCTACTTTTTAATACTAAAAAAAGGGCTGTAAGGGGTTGAAATATAGTATATAATATACATTATAACTAAAATAACAATAATAATTTATTTATATTATACACACTATAAATATATTTTTTTCGCTGGCTGTGAGCATTTTTATCAACAAACGACATTTTTAAATATTTTACACGGTAATATTAAATGATAACGCAGGAGAAAAAACAGTGTAAAATAAAGTTGTTAACGAACACTCACAGTCAACAAATAGAAAACTACAAATCGATCGACACCGTCACGAACATCGGAATCGGTCAGCTATTATTTTATAATGTAAAAAAAAAATCGGTTTTCACTTGAGATGACTTTTGTCCGGGCAACGCCGGTTGAGACAGCTAGCAATAAATACTTATATCCGGAATAGTGAAAAATGTCAAGTCACTTAGAAGAAGAATATTTTTTGAATTTCATCAAAATATCTAAATTAATTGTTTTATGTTAAATAATCAATTTGCGCAACATCTAAACTGGAAATATCTGTAATAAAAAAAATTCGCAAGTGGGTAGTGCTCTGCCATGGGCGTGCTCACACGGAGAACACGTCGGGAACCTTTTTCCTTTTTCCAAAAACACCTTTTTGTAGGAAAGATTTTTTTTAAAAATAAAAATTTGCTAATCCATGATGTCCATGATTTGAACAACCTTTTTTTTAGTGGCAGTTGTTAGTATAGTATTATTATTCCATTGAGTTATTGGTAGGCATCAGAATGATCCAGATTTCCACTGCCAATATCTTTTGCAAAAAGCTGACGTTGTTTTTCGAAAGAAAGAACGGTTTGTAGTAGCATATGCGTTGTATACTTGTATTACCCTTACCTTGAAGCTTAGTATTTAAGTGATTTAGACATGAAGTCAAATCTACACCAGTAGATGCTACTTATCATAGCATAATTCGGGGTAGTTGATGTCTTTGTTCGTTAGAAAATCTTTTATGGGTTTGAAACAATCTGTAAAGTGCTTCAAAACAATCCCTCTCGATAACCAACGTACATCATTGAACATAAGAAGATCATTGTATCAGGCATTAACTTCATCAAGCAATGCACGAAACTGTCTATGATTCAGAGCTGAAGCTATAATTCGGTAATAATTTTCCCTACTAGTGCCATAACTTGGTTAATTTCAACTGGGAATGTTTGAGCACATGAAGCTTCTTGGTGAACAATACCTACAATAAAACGACAGTAGTTCATGTTTCACATTTTGGCTAAAAAGAGTAACAAATCCTTTATACTCAGCAGTCAGCAACCATAATTGGTTATCCATCAGTGAAAATAGATATCAGTTTATTTAAATTGATTTCCTCTTTCACAACGAAAAGATTTCCGACCCATGGAATAGATAAAATATTGTTTAAAATAAAAAATATAAAATATTTTCTTACCTGAAATCATCGTGGTTTATAATCCTGTTATAATCGTTGTTAAGAAATTCAGAAATATTATCACTATAATAACGTAAACTATAATTCATATTTTACGGGTCTTGAAATATTGATGCATTTTCCAAAGAGCCGCAAGTTCCCGACCGCTGCACTATACGGTATATTGAATACATTGTACCAAAAAATTGAGTTTGAAAACGTCATTGTGTGTATAAAATATAATAATATACATACTTTAAAAGTTTCAAGTACCCACAAAAAACTAAACATCATTGTAAAATCATTACATCCGTTGATCCACTCTGAATCTAAAATTGTGATACCTATGTATTTTCAGTATTTTTACGTTTCTGTAAGAATAAGTAATAAGGTATGAAGAACGTTGAATTATATTTACAAGGTTCGGTTATTCAAATTGAAAATTTTATAAATTTCTAACTATACAAACTTTGATGAATCAAAAAAAAAATAATCTAAATTTTAATTTTAAAAGTTTAAACAAAACGAAGCTCATAGTTTTCATTAGTGAATAGCTAGCATATGGGGGAGTTCCCCTCGGGACATCCGGGATCCATGAGTGAGTCTGGTGTGACATATTAGGAGTCTATTGGTAGTGGTTTCTATTTTGCGCTTTGGGTGACTATTCGTCCAATGTAGGGTCGATTACTTTATTTCATTACGTTTAGTTCTTTGTATAGGCCAGAGGTTTTGCCAGGATTATGGTGATATAAGTTTTATTTTGCGCTTAGCATCTTGAGCAGAAATGTTTGAGATATTGCCTTTGGGGGCTGTTGATGTGGTTTTTTTAGCTAGCGTGTCAGCTTTTTCGTTGCCATTTATTGGTGAGTGGCTTGGAATCCACATTAATTTGACTACATTTACTTCGGTGTAGTGAGCAAAGATGGTGAGCTGAATTTTCTTTGATGTGTCATTAGGTTCGTGAGTGTTGGCAATACTTGTTATGGAGCTTAGGGAGTCACTTAAGATAACGAAGTTATTATTTTGTTTTACCAGTGAATATTCAAGAGCTTTAAGAATAGCAATTGCCTCAGCGTTGCATATGGAGCATTCTAATGAAAGTTTGTATGTTATTTCTTCTTAGACATTATAATATATGATAGCGATTTCCACATTACTTTCGGTTTTGGATGCGTTGGTGTAAATTTTAAAAAAGTTGGAGTACTGAGATAAAATGTTTTTGAACTCTCGACTATAAGTATGTGAATGATGAGTTATGTTTTTTGGTAGATCGGTTAGCCTAGCGTCAATCATTATAAAATATCAAAGTCCATGGATGGAAAAAAGGCCGTTTGGGAGGTTATAATGTCTTTGATGTTAAGATTATTTTCGTCAACAATTGCTAGTATGGAAGGCATGATTGTACAGAGAATACCATTTTGTTTCAGCAAGTTATATGGCAAGCATCATGACATTTTCCTAGAGCTTAATATTGGGGAGGGGGCATCGCATTGGATATATTAAGTAGGCTTGCAATGGGACTAAACCGAAAAGCTCCAGTTGCCAGTCTTGATGCTTTGTTATGGATTGTGTCTAACAATCTTAACGCATTTTTGTTGCCGTTTATAAAAATAAATGAATTATACTCGAGTTTGGATAAAGTGAATGATTGTGTATAGTTGTTAACGTGGAAAAGAGGCTCATCAACTGGTATGATCTAGAATTTTCATTATGTTAATACTTGTTACTCAGATTTTTCTAATATTTTTTATGTGTGGGATGTATGAGTTTTTTTATTCAAAAATTATTCCAAGGACTTTAGCAGTGTTTTGGTTAGGAATTTTATTATTGTTTATGGTGTGTTTTAGTTTCTTTTCTTTTCTTTTCCGTGTAAATGTTATACATTGGGATTTGCCTGCCGATAACACTTTTTATGTAAGAGTTTATAAGAGTAAATCAAAAAGTATAGGTACACAAATGAATACTAGTTTTATATTTATATATAGTATATAACTAAGTATTATTACTCACGTATCAAAGACAGGGGTATTATTAGTGTTAATTGTGTCTATAAGTTGATACATAACAGTATGAATATAATACGATGGGTGGTTTAAAATACTAATTTAAAATAAATATAATAATTAGTATCAATATAGATTTTGTTGGCTTATATATTATTTTATATAATTCAAACAAATGAGTTACTTCATTTCTCTATATAGTAATGTAATATAAAGTGATTTCCGATTTCCAGCTCTATATCATTTCACATAAATTAAGAGAATGGTTGAGGTCCTCCCTGCTTTCTGGTGTTTTTACATGGCAAACGGATGGATGCCTAATTAAAGAAATAATGACTTAGGCGTTAAAGGAAAGGAGACCAAGAGAAGACCGCAAAGAAGATGGATAGATAGCATAAATGAGTTATGGAATGCGAATGGAACAGATTTTTAAAATATAACATATGATAAAGAGAAATAGGAAGGGATAGTTAAATAGTTTTGGCGGTAAAAATCCTCATAGGATCAAAAGGGTGGGAAAAATATATATTGTAGTATTTATTTATTAATTATCATTGAGAGCAAAATAATTTGTTTTGTATATTAATTTTAATACACCAATGCATAATATTTTTGAAGAAACATTTAAATTTTAATTAAATTGATATTAAATATCTTTGAAACAATAATTATTTTTATTAGGTATCTTTTATCTAAGTAGTACATCAATTTTTTTCTTTCAACCACTTTTGTACATAATATGTAACAGTTTCACGAGCTTTCGTTAACTGTGGAGGGTCCAATGACTGAGAAGGATATGTATCAGCACAATGTGATACTCCTAAAAAAAAAAAAATTTTAAATAATAAACAGAAATTTTAGTTTATAAAAATGATCTTAAATTAATAAAAATATAATGGTTCGTTACCTTTAATGGTAATGGAAATGGAGTCTTTTGTGTTTAGTCGAGTAAGACCTAACCTATTCCACGGATCGACAGAACCGTGCAAATAAATAATCCTGCTCGTTTTATTTTTTAAAATTTGGTACATCTCATTTGTTTTTTTGATAGCCTTATGTAATTTCGTCGAGTTAAATCTAAATGAAAAAGATAATATAAATTTAATTATTTATGATGATTCAATAGATTTTAAAAATAAGCAATTCTGCATCATGATATGATCCTCATCAGTATAAACATTTACCAGTAACTATTAACAATACTATAATGAGACCAGGTTGTTAAAACAATTAATATAATATACAGTAAATAAGATGCCATATAAATATAATATGATACATGCAATATTTATTAAAGTTATTGTAAGGAAAGAGCTGAATTGACTGCAATATAGATATCAGTACGTAAGTACTTTGATAGACAAACTTTTTTGGGAGGGAGTTGGTCTTTTTTTCGTGGTAAGGTTTTTGTTAAATATCATTTTTTTTTTTTTTGCTTGCTTCTGCATAGTGGGTGTGATCTTAGGGGCTTAATAATAAATTCACAATAATATATTAATAATATACAGTAGCCGATGATCAGGTTTTGCTATACGTCTCGGTGCCGATTCAATGTCACTTCAATCAATTACAACTACCCTCCCAATGAATGGACACTACACAATCATAACTACTAATTATATTTGGAATGGACTTAATACTAAAATATACTTTGTCCATTAGAACTAGTGTGTTCTACTTTGAGACAGATTATGGTCATATACGAATACGATACGTCATATAAATAATAAATAACATTTAAAAAAAATATTTTTATCAACTTACGTTCCAAAAACATCCTTACACATATCAATAAAAAAGTTTAATGGTATGGTATCACTAAATAAGTGATTAAAATTGTTTGATGTTACAAAATTACCAATCTCTGTACAGACTTGGTACAACATTTGTCGATCTGAAATAAAATAGCTTGCTTATTATACCTATATTATCATACAAAAGCAGATGAAATTGCTGTATAAATAAATAATACATTATTTAGATATGAAAAAAGGCTTTAGGAACAATTAATTACATTTGATGAAGAATAAGGTACCTCCTAAATTATACTCGGTGCAAACCATTTGCGCCCATCACCCATTTTACTCACCTCCTGTTTTTACATTTCCTGAGTTCCAAGATGTTTTCTTAAAAGCGGAAAGTGCAGTTTCATATGTACCCGATAAACATTTTTGATTATTGACGGATCTTAATTTTTCGTGTACGACTGTATATCTTTCAAGCTGTGAAAATATGCACATAATTATTGATTATTATTTTATTCATTCCTACTAGAGTTATCAATTAATAAAATCCACTTGGTTACATGACCACTAGATTATAGACAGTTTACCAGCCACCGAATGGTTGAACGGTGATACCTCAGACTTAAGAGTAATAAACCTGTCAGATTCATTATTTATTTATTTTGAATACTTATTTAAAAACAAAATTGTTATCAAAATAATAATTGGTCTGCTATGTACCTATCTATTATAAATACACAAAATTGTAAATCATGCTTACATATTAGTATTGTAGGCACCATCACTGCATAGTTTTTGATAACATTTTCAAAAAAAAAAAAAAAATGATATAAAAATGTTGATATTTCGTCGTTAATTGAGTAAAATGTGTATTTACTTATGTCTCTAACAGTTAAAATCACTATTTCAGTTGGGATTACATAACTTGACAATTCTGCTGTCAGACATAATGTGAAACACATGAGTAGAGGACTTTCACGGACATTTGTTGTCTCCGTATTACAAATGCGCAACATAGAGTATACAGTATTGACATGTTGTTCAAAAACCATTGGAAACTGAATTGTGACGAGTTAAAATTAAATGTACCTGCAGGACGCAGGTATACTCAATACACACATTATAGACGTTGTACTACCTTAAACATTTTCTTTAATCCTCAATTCTCGAACAAGTTAAAACGATAACTCGTTACTTTCGTTACGTTGCTGCCTAGAGCCCAATACTGAAGATAAGGACCTAGTGAGATATTGTGTTTTAAATAATAAAAAGAAATTTGTAGAGATACCCACAGCTGTTTTGCAATTACCTAATATTATGTTCATAATCATAATTATTCATACTACCTACCTAATTATTATATTGGTAACTAAGTTGCTCATATTAATAAAATACTTACTGGATTTCCTAAAGACCTGTCTAACATCATATTGCATATTCCTTCTAATGCGGAAGACGCATTTCCGTTATATATGTTACCTTTGTTGTATTGTACAGTTTGTGCAATGGGTAGAGCTAGGTTACTAAGCAATTGTGTTTTATCTTTTTGATTTCCTGCTGGAATACTACTGCACGTTCTGAAATTATGTAATTACAATTGCCATTTATTATTTTCTATCATTATACAAGCTATTTTGGTATTAATTAAGAGTTGTGAATTGGGTACTTGAATTTGCTATTAATATATTTTGCTCCATCCTTGTATTTTAACAAATCGCTAATCGATAAAGTTGCTGATCTTATATATGATGCACATCTTGGATTATAAGTTGATAGTACATTTTGGACAACCATATAATATTCTATAAGAATAAAAGCTCTCAACATTATTTATTTTTCAACGATAACCACGAAGATGGATAACTTTAAGACTATATTATTTCAATGAAATTACAATGTTATGTGTATTTTACGATGTTGTTGTGAAAGGCTAAATAAATTGACAAATAATGTGTTATATCATAGTACCTTTATAATTTATTTTTGCCTTTAAAGGGCTACTTGATGAAACTGCTGCGTGTACGAGATGTGGATATTTCATTCTTAACCAGGCAGCTAAACTTCCAGAATAAGACCCTCCAAATACTACCCATTTAGCATTTAGTGCTTCATTATCTTTTGAAATGGTGCGTATAAATGTTTCCAAGTCAGCTAATGCTTGTTCAATAGTCAAGTACATTAAATTGTTAGTGTTTAAATTACTGAAACATACAAATATCACATATTTAAAATAAAACATGAAAAATGAATGAAAATTATTTTTGTTGTTTTAATTAATATACAGAAGCCCTTAAAATGTGAGATTTTTTATTAAAAATAATATATAATACACAATCAAATAATTTGTGTTGGAATTTAATGCATGTATGTGTAAAGACGGTTTTCATCCACAGGTTATTATTACACAGTACTCGAGTTGGTATTGTTATGAGGAAGGGGGTAGCAAAGTGATGAAGATCCTCTACAATGTTTTATTTTTTTGATGGGTCATTAGGAAAGCACAAACTAATGACCGAAATAATTTTGATTAAAATGTGGATTTAAATTGATGTCAACAATATAATGCATTTTATAATTCTTATATTTTTAATATTAGTTTATTATAATATCTTCTATGTTTTAGACTACTTTTTTTTATTGTTTGTTTTTATTTTATCATCCGTATTCATTGCTTAGTGCAGTGTTCACATGTATATTGTATGTACAATAAATTATTCTTAATAAATTATCAAAATATTTAAACATGTATGTAGACTAGTGTCTAGGGGTGACATTCGTCCGAACCACAAATTAAGATTCTATCAAAGAATATACTATTTTCCCACACAATAATATACGCAAGTACATGTGAAGATTATTGAATGTTAGAACAATGAATCAAATTGACTGTATTCGTGATCAAGAATAGATATCACAAAACTATTTCCTATGTTTGGAGTTGTAGAGAAGCGGACTGTGACACTAACTACCTCATGGTAATAGTAAACTGCAGGTTAAAGATAAAAATTGAAACTAAACTAAGAAGAGAGATAAGATATAAGTTCAACCTAGAATCTCTCAAAGAAGACACTACTGGAATAAAGTACGAAGACGCTGTCAATAAGAACGTTGGAGTAGAGAAAAAACAAAATTCTAGAGCGTGGGAAAGAATAAAAGACGGCATGCATGGACCGGTGAAACAGAATATCGGACATATGAAGAACGCAAGAAACAAATGGCACAACGAATAATCTCACCCTGTAGCAGAGAAATATCACGCAGACCCTGAAATACTCATACGCAAATAAGTAGAAACATTTCAAGACAATTATTCAGATGGAGAAGAAAACATTTCAACATGATCTTACAAAACTCGGAGAATGATCTTACTCAAGAAAGAGACAGGAATTTCTTCAGAATCTTTAAGCTGTATCGATAATTCAACCAAAAATAAGGGGCAATTAAAGATCTGAATGGACAAATGTTATTGCAACCAGGAACAAAATCTCTAGGATGAAAACAATACTTTGTAAATCTTTTAAGTTGTGCAATACCAAACAACCCGATACCTCACACTGAGTACCAAAGAGCAGAACCCCGGATAAAAAGCTTAAAACTAGAGGATGTTGAAGCAGCTATACTCAGATTAAAAATTGAAAATCTCCAGCAAGAGACATTACCACAGAGCTAATCTAGTAGAGAAGAAAAGAATTACACAAAGCCATGTATAAGGTATGTGAAGAGATCTAGAATGAAGAACAAATGATCAAGAGATACTCATAATCCCCATACACCTGTCAAGGAGAATGGATTCTGTCTGCGTCACTGTGCTCAGCCTAGATCATCAGGATTACTGTTAACCACTCAATAAATTGCCTGTGCAGTATAATCGATGTTTCAAGTTTATATTTTACAGTTTACATTTCAAGTTTACATTGGATATTCAAACATATAAATAAATAACAACTATTTATCTTCAAACGATTGTTGTTATTTTGTTATCATTCAAAAATTATTAACTGAAGAAACTTGAAATATTCCACAGAATTCAAAAAGAATTTTCAATATAGAGTAGATTGTGAAGTGACTTCATTCCATGAAATCATGTAATAATATTGTATTATTCATATCATAAATACACTATGTACATAACCAAATTGTAGTAGGTATCAATTATTAAAATAAAGTCTGTTGAAGTAATAATCCAATGAAATCTTATTTGTAATATCAGTTGGATATTAGGTAGTAGGTACAATATTATTTGGACTTATAATATTTTAGTTGATTATTGCAACATTTAGAACTACATTTTACTATAGGTATACAGTATTTAATTAATATTATTGTTTTATCTTTCATTCACTCACTCAGTGGGATGGCTTCTTCCATAATACCGATGTTCCAATTGAAAACATATGGCATTACATTTTTTAGCATATTCAATCCAAGCACCAGAAGTCATCCAATCATGTGAAATTTCTTCTTCTCCTCCTATATTCAAAAATATTGGGCCACCATGTTTATAGTATTTCAAATTCATTTGATACCTCTAAAAAAAATCCAATCATTCTGTTAATCCTTGACTAATAATTACTGAATCATCTTAACACGTTATCAATTATGTAAATTCATACCTGGTTCCACGTTCTTTTATCAGAGGGATTAAAATGATCCACTTTCTGTTTAAACCATTTGTTCTCGATAATCAGACTTCTAGTTGTTGTTGTCAAATTTGGTTTTCCTACTCCCACCAGTCTCATAAAACTACCGTTATGAGCCAAAGAACCCGACCAAACGCAACACCAAAGTACGCAAAAAATTAAATTCATTTTTTAAAATTAAGATCCTTAATCTGAAAAAAGTTAACCTCTTTTTAAAAATTATACTTGAATAGTAAGCTTATTGCTAAAAACAATAACATAATCAATTTATGTATATTTTCAAAATATACATATATTGATTATATATAAATATTATTTTGTATGGTATAACGTATAAGGATATTAATTATCATTTAAAGGCATCATTTTTATTAATGAACTCTTCTGTAAGTACCTAATATTAATTAGGTATCAATATGGATACATTGTGTCTCTAGGCTTAAAACTACGACCCGCCTATAACTTATTAATAAACTATAAAATGAGTATTTTTTGATCAATTTATTGACACTTGACAGCATTGATTGATTGATTGAAGATTGATATGATTCATAAGCATTCATGATTGTAATTTAATGAAAAATTATTTCGGGCATTAGGTTGAAACCGTTTCAGTGAAAAATAATAGTTAAGGTACCAGAATAGTGGTTACGTAAAATCTGTGTGTCCATAGATACTCTAGTCCAGGGGTCGGGAACCTTTTCGTCAGAATGAGCCATTTTTTAGAAAAATTACAAAATCACGATGTCCAAGGAGCCGCACAGGTTTGAACAACCTTTTTTTTAGTTTTAATTGTTAATATAGATTATAGACAATATATTATAGAATATTAGAATAAGATAATATTATTATTTCATTGAACAATTGGTAGGCATTAAAGACATACGTCTTAAATTTAGAAAATATAGAAAAACTTTATTTCATTAATTCATTATTATTATTATTATTGTTGTTGTTTATACAAGTATAATATTATTTAATTAAATACAATAACACACAAAAAAACGTATCTTCTTAATATAAGTGTAAATTTCCCAAAGAGCCTCAGGTTCCCGACCCCTGCCCTAGTCTATAAGTATCCCAGATACTTAAAACTTTCACCTATATGATGATATTTCGACTCTTTTTGAGTTATTTGTAAGGATAAAAAAAGTTTTTTGTTTTTTTCTATAAATATTGATAAAATACGCATAGTCAAAAAGTTTAAAAATTGAATGCACGGTTCTTCATACGTTTTTATAATAATGGTTCAAATATATTGATGATACATAGGTACGATTTTTTTTTTTACAATTATTTTAAGTTAAGATTTAGACCAAATTTTTTATGAGTTCATGAACTTTTAGCTTCTATTTTATAGATGCATGGTTAAAAATGTATAAAAATTAAAAATAAAATGTTCAATTTTTTTAGTGAAGGATTGAACATTTTATACAATGTTACTCGTAAGTCATAAGTATTTCATACCATAACCAATAATTTAAAAAATATTACCTAATCTAAGTTTTTTTTAAATAGATATTTTAAGTTCAAATTTTTACGAAATAATATATATGAACAAGGAATTACAAATTTAGTTATTTTTGGGTATGAAATTTAAAAATACTATTCGTGGTAATTGACACTAAATTTTGATAAAATCGACTAAACGGCCGACGTAAATTAATTATTTGTGCGATAGACCCTGAAATCAATAGGTATTTTAATTATTTTTAAGACATAAATAAATGCTATTTTACATTTTTTTTTTTTTGATAAAATTCTTAAAAACTCTAAATTTGCATTTTGATGAAAATATTGGCGCTATTCAATTGAAATGTGCAGAATTATTGACGTACCTAAATGACAACCAATTAATTTGGGATTAAGGAAAAACACATACAAAGACGTAGAAACCCTAATCTAAGCATATCATATCACGAACATAATATGGTAATTATTTTGTAGTTATGAAAATTTTTAAAAAATTTTTTGACAGGATTAAAAAATTAAAACAAGGTTTCTCATAAGTACCTTAGTAGTTTATACTGTAACCAAACAATTTCAAAAATATTTAAACAAAGCTTTTTTATAGGTATTCAAAGTTCAAATTTAGACGAAATTAAATATTTAAACGAAGAATAACAACTTAAGTTATACTATTATTTAAATATTATTCATGGCCCGTGAGTTCTTGAATTTGTTTAAGTTTATTTTTATATGTTTTACACAATGGCATTTGCAAATTCTATGTTTTTGGCAAAAATTATATCAACCTACCACCTGTAGTATAAATTACTCAAGTACCAAAAATATTATAAAATATACTTATCTAGTAAAATAGCTGATGGACTACATTCGCTCAGAATCGTGTTTCGTACAGAAAGATTTTTATCACTCAATTCAAATTTGACACATTCATTACACTACTACAGTGACAACCCTGACATTTACACTCTACAGTACAGAATAGCAGTACTCACTTGTCCATCCAGTGGCTTGGCCAGGGGGAGTACTGCACCCACTCACCACCGATATTATAGGGTACATACCATGTTATTTAGTGTTATTTAGGTAAAACTATGTACGTAACATTTTCTTAGATATTCCTTACTATACAATTGAATTTCATAAAATACTACTGAACGATACTGTACTGAATGAATGGATAAACGAAGCACAATACATAAATGTTGACATGAGGTGATGTTAACGAGAAATATTTAATAACAATTGATAATAAAATTATTTCTGTCAATCATTTATTATTATTAAATAACTACCTATTTACAAACGCTATCTAACCGCAAAAGATTCATACAACAATTCAAAATGACATAGGTAGTATTAGGTTCCCCATATTCACCCTAGTGTGATTTGTTATGGTATCAATTAATTCGGATGCAAAGCCTTGCATCTAAATAATATGTATAATAAGACATAATGAAATATACTCACTTACAATTATATAGAAATTTGACTGTTTTAATTTGTAAATTTTTTCACTAAAGAAGTAACTTTAAAAAAATAGAAGTCAAACTATTAAATATAGGCATTTTGTTTTTATACATTTTATCAAGGTTAAATAGATACTCACCTAATTATAAAACGCTTACTAGTTGTAAAATATTTAATTAACTTAGTGTGGAAGTACACTAAATGTATCATTATATAGTGTGTATTACACATTTGTAATCTTAATGTCTATTTTACGATATCATAGCAGATATCATAAATAAAGTGATCAACTTTTTATGGTTCACAACTGAGTGAACTTTTATGACAAATTGTATTTTATTATTAACAGATAACTTATGGCTGTTAGGTGAATAATTATATTTTTATCTGATTCAAAAAATAACTTCATAAGTGAAACTAAAAAATGTTATTAAGACAAGCCTATGATAAACATGAAAACAAATTATAATTACAAAATACGTGTTTTATTTAAATTTTAAATTGTATTGACTCAGTAGGTATGTTATCCAGTCAGTATAAGGCTAGACCAATAGAGTATTTTCAATTTTTCTGGAAGGAGGTGGTCAAAAAATTCTGTTAATTTTCAACATTTTATAAGTATTTTATATCAGAAAATTGGTATTTATTTATTGTTATACTTAACACCTTTGTATGAACATCATCTACATTATATTACAACGTGGAATACTACATCAAAAACAATTAAAACATTGACAACTTAATTATATATAGCTGAATAACGCCAAAACATATTTAAAATTAAAATACCTTCCTACAGTATAGGTACTAGCTATTAAAAACATTCTTTAATAGTTTAAGTGTCAACTAAGCATTTGTCTGTATGGATAGGTCTAGTCAAAATGTATTTAAAAATACAAAGTAAAATATTTAAGTTAGGTACCATATTTTAAAATATTTGGATAGTGAAGTACGCGATCAAAGTTTATTAATGTAAATATTTTAAAAACTTTATTATATTATGTATTTCAAGAAAGAAGATAATTGACAATTATATACGATGTTTAAGTTTCCTTATGGCTTATCGAACATTCCCGAATTGTTTGTCTCACTCAGAACAATTACAATGACAATTACAGTAAATATTCATGGATAAACCATTATTTTTTCTGAGTATAGGATGAAAGATAAACATTTCATAAAAATGTTTATTACCGTCTCTCTTTCTTATTCGGAAACACTACTCTCTGCGTCTTTGATATACACATGGCAAGGGCGTCCTTAAGATTTGCGAGGTCCAGATCAAAAATAATAGTGCCACCTGTTCATTGACGCAACTAGAGAAGTGAACATGGAACTTGCGCACCCCAAAAAATAAAAACCTTTTTCTATTATATTTTGATTATTTTGATGTAAAAATAATCAATAAGTATAAGAATGTTGTTACGTCTATAATGACGTCTGAAAGCACACCACTCAACAACTCCACATTGACAAATTGTCTGCTACAGATTTCCCAATTCAGGTAAATCCGGTTTTCCAGTCCCTGGTCAGTTGGTAAAAGCTATTGTATGCAAGTAGCACGAGACGTCTCCGGTAGTTGTTGAAACTCTGCAGAACATGTTCTCTAGAAGTCTAGACAGTTTTATTAATATTTTCGTCGGTGGTCCCGTCGTTGTGAGAAGTGACCATGCCCATATTTTGGCTCACCGGGATCATGTATCTTTTAAACATAGGTACCATAGTACCTTAAGTGCTATGGTTCCGCTTCTTGTTCCTTCTGTCAGCAAGCCAGTCAACATCTCAACATCGCCGACGCGCGATGGTGTATGGAATCGCCAAATCATACACTGAACGAGTTTTCACAAATCATGTTTGTAAAACTTGAACAAATGAATTTGATTATGAAATAATTAATAAGATGCAAGTTGAAAAGAATTTTTCAAATGTTTAGGTAATACAATAAAACAATAACTGTATTTATTAAAAAAATTCATATAGGTATAAAAGTAATAAACAAATGGTAATTATAATAAAATATGCCAATTATTATTAAAAATCTGTTTGTTAACCATAAGAAATTACTACTACACTAAAAAAAGACGTTCTAAATAGTTTACATAAAAATTAATATTGCATCTTATATATTATACTAGCTCTCCCATCCGTCTTTGCCTGTTAAAAGGATTTGTTGCCTGTCAAAAATGCTAACAATATAAGATTTCAACTTTTTTCAATTCGTTATTTAGTAA